AAAGTCGACTTTTATTTGCGGAAATTAATTAGTAATTTGTGATAGCCGAAACGAACCCAGAACCGCATCAGGGACCACCTCGAGAGTATACCCTTTTAAACAAAAGAAGAATTTTCAAAATTGGTTTTGAGAAATTGGCGAGTACACGGACATGCCTGCAAAATTTGAGGATTTCCTTCGATTTTCATAGGATCCCCTCATCAGATTCTGACTTGGTAACAATGGGTCCACCACGAAAGTGCACCCTTTCAAACAAAAAAGATATTTCCAAATCGGTCCACAATTGACGAAGATATCATAAAACTACATAAAACATACAAACAGCCGAACGTATAGACTCCTCCTTTTTTAAAGTCGGTTAAAAATTTGTAATTGAAACTCCTTTTATTAACCGACTTCAAAAAAGGAGGAGGTTCTCAATTCGACAGTATGTTCTTTTTTTTTTTTTCTTTTTTTTGTATGTATGTTACGCGATAACCGGTATTTGTGAATCGATTTTCATTATTCTTTTTTTGTTGGAAAGGGGGTACTTCCATAGTGGTCCCATTTCATTTTGAAGAAAGTCATCCACCTCGAAGGGTGGCTGTTCACGCATGAAAATTGACTTTTATAAATAGCACCTAACTTTAATTTAGGAGCAATTGCTTTAATGGTTGATTTTGGTATTACTTCCATTCAATGCATTTTTCTCTCCATATACTTTGAGTAGTGTCGTAGTGAGAACCTATTTTTATTATCTCCAGCGTCAAGTCCTGTATAGTGGGTTTTTTTAGTACTCTGTGCTGAGATTATAATTTTAACCAATTTATTGTCAATTCCATAATTCAATAAAAATTTAAACATGGAACATGTTTTTTTTTTCATTAGAGTTTGCGTTTCGCAAAGGAACTCCGCGATGGACAGCTTGCTAACAAAACAGCCTGACGTACAATATAATGAGACGTTTAGTTTTTTCAAAATTAAGCTAAAATATTGTTGATGTTTTCGGTTAGTACATTATATAGCAACCTGATGGAAATCGTTTCACCATTAACTCGTAACTTTATATCATAAATCTTTATTTGTTGTGATATTTACAATTCAAAATTTATCAGTTTAAAGTCGCAAAAACAAGTCAAGTTGTAATTTTTAAATTTTTTTATTGATATCCTATGTAATAATATATATAAATACCATATGTAAATGTAGTATTTAGTTCCTTGTTTCATGCTTAATAAAATTTATACATCAATCTCAAAGGCAATGTAAACAAACACATTTAAAAATCAAATCGCAGTGGCACGATGTTGGCACAAAAAAGACAGAGGGACAATTTATAATGTCGCGTTCCTTTCAAAAATATTTATGAATATATATCTACAATATTTGCTGAACCTCTATTTTATTCAAATTACATAAAGAAATCATCTTCTCATCATCGGCTACAACACCAAAAGGAAAAAATGTCAAAAGTGAGTTTATCACATGGATTTTTTAAATATTTTTAGTGTTTTTATTACATAGCGCTAAAGGCTACATCGTGCTGGCCCGAGCCGAGTCTCAGTCGCAGCCACAGTCCACTAATATCACATACACTTTGTTACATTTCCACTCGCGAATGTGTTTATACATGCATTAGATATTTGGCTATGCTACGGTCAAAACTCGGGTCAAGTGTAATGTAACGTATATCATTTGTTATCCGTCGTACGTTTTCAGCGCCTAATAAGCCCACAAAACAAATATTTACCGGAAGCACGAAGTAAATAGTATTCTTGTGCCGGAAGAGTTTAACTTCGCTATAGTTAATGTTATTTAAATTAGTGTATGATTAATTATAAACTCAGCAATAATCAATAGTAGTACAAAAACGCGGAAGCATGAAGATTATTAAATATCAAAAGTGCGGCAAAATGGAAGTCGAATGATGTGTTCATACTTTATTCTTTATTTTAATAGTAGTAAAGCTCCTTGTGAGCGGGTTTTTTTCTGAGAAGTAATGCCATCTAACCTATTTCTGCCGCCAAGCAGTTCCGGTTTTGAAGGGTGCTGGTGAAATTACAGCCATATAGGACTTAGCTCACTCAGCTTATGTCCCAGGATGACGGGCACAGAAGTAGTGCCCCTCAGATCTTTGCGATTTAATGCTCTGAGTGACACTGCGACTGCTACAGACGGGCGCGTCGCTTACTACCAGGCGCACGACTTATTCGTCCCGTCATTCGATATCATAATAATCTCAGTACAGAGTACTAAAAAACCGACCTCAAAAGTCATTTATCGCCTATTTTGCTTCTCTTTGAGGTGCAATATTGTCTTCAAATTTAAATGCGACCACTATTGGGGTACCCTCTTTCCAATACAAAAAGAATCATCGATATCGGTTCACAAATGCGTTATCGTGCAACATACATAGAAAAAACACTCGAATTGAGAACTCCTCCTTCTTTAAAGTCAGCAAAAACAATTACACATTAGAAACAAAAAGAAGGTTTCGTCCATTGACTTTTTGTAAGTCAATGGTTTCATCTTATACTTTGGATCGTATTCCAAACAGTCAAATGGCTAGACATTCCTCACTGATAGAGTATGGTAACTACCCATCGCGTAGAGACATAACTGATTTATTTTTTTCATTTATTTGCACAATTTTCAACCTCATTTTAATAAAGATTCTTCAAATTTGACACTGAACATTAAAATTATTTTGGGAAATGTCAAACAGCAGGTAGTAAAACACGGCCTTGATCGTCGTAGTAATTGTAAAATAAACATTTAGCGCTTATACTGACCTTTGCCAATTAGTTAGAGTATGAGTCAAGACTGATGTTTCTTACAACCAATGTCAATGGATTTTTTCTAACAAACGGAATTTTAAAGATATTTTTTTTATAATCAAGGACGTAGTATATTTTTGTATAAAAGATTAAACGCTATGCGAAGTTTACATCAGTTATATTGTAACATAGTTAGTCTCAACATTGGCATAGTCATAAAGTTTAGTACCGTTTGGATCAATGAAATCGTAAAGGAATCTGCATATAGTATGAGGTTTCAAACTCTTAGAAGATGTGACATTTCCAATACATCAACGCAGGTGCTTAATAACCAGTCTGGTGTATTATATCCCTGCTTGGAGAAGTCTCTATATGGGTATATACAGTACATATTAAAGAATAAACATATGGTACTTTATAATCAGTGATCGGAATTAAAAGTGTTAATTTACCTAAAATATGAACGTCTACGTGTAGACATAACCATTTCGTCATTAATGCGTATAGAATATAATTTTTTACTGTATATTTTCCAAACATTCCGAAGTAGGTTATCTCATGTTTAATTTTTAAAAGGATAAGTATTAAAAACAACTACAATATTATTTTTAGAGTCAATAATGTGTAACAAATACTTACTTAATAGAAAATAATCATTTGCAGCCAATGAACTTAAATTTCAATAAATAGTACGCGTATTCAAATATAAACTGTTCCGTGAAGTCTCGGGATTTGTAGAAGTGAATGTCCATGTTATTATTTAGCTTTAGCTAAATTCCATACCGATCTGAACACTAAAAAAATGTATTATTTTACCAATATTATACTGACCGCTATAAATTATTTGTTAAATTTGCAATTGCTATAACTTACATCTCCACTCATTATTGTTACCAGTATCTCATTTTGAAGTGAAATTATTTTTTTAAATATTTTCCTTTCTTAAGAAAATCAACTTCCCGTCATTAATTTACTAAATTAATACAAATGGTACAAGAAACATGCGGGAACAAAAACGAAGATGTAAATTAGTACATTGGTTAATTTTATCTATAATGTATTCAAACTATTAAGATACCGGTATTACCTCAATTTGAAGTTTTAACACAGTCATTTAAGAAATTTAGTAGGTAATGCAAATATTTATTACAATACTAAAGGTGTTGTTTTTATTGTGTTAGTTCGAAGTTTTCAAAAATTTAACGCATAATAGAAAATCGTTTAGTAAATGATGGATTAAATAATTCATGTGCTGTAAAGATATTGTAGACAGTTTCGGCAAAAGACTGGGACAAAATTTTAAAAATTCTGTGTACTGTAATGGTAAATGTAAAATATGTAATGTAATTTAAGGGGTAATTTTCTAGTTAGTTTTCTCTACGTAATTTCAGTGGCAATTTTTATTATTTGAATATTGTAGAATATTACCATGAAGTATTATGTAATATTCGAGTGCAGTAAGTATCCCGAAATATTTCGCGATAATATGCTCGAATACGTAAATCATAAAAATTTCCACCGAAATTAAGTAACCTGAAAATTACCCTAAAACACATAATATATTACGTGCTTTCACTTCTACAAAGTTCATAATGTAAATATTCTTTTGACGTCGCTCAAATTTGGACCAATTTTTTTTTTAAACAATGGGAATTGGTCACTGTTAACTACAATTAAAAGGCAGATCATTGATTCAATATAATTATGTGTCTGTACAATGCTAAACAAATACGCGGAGACAGGGCAAAATGCGTAAAAGATTATTTCACAACAGATGTGGTGTAAACTTTGATACAAATGTTTTTTACTAAATTAAAAGCAAAAAACTCTTAAAATAACCCAAACTTTTGATTGAATGAAATCTTTTAAAATTTATCCATTATAATAATAATGAGGTAATTCACTGTTTCTAAGGCTACGAGAGCTTTGAAAGTAACAAATTTTAATATTGAAGAATTACGGACTTCATTATATAGAACAAAAAATCTAAACGTGAAACAAAACTGTATGTAACATTTAACATACGTGAGGTTAGTTAGAAGTTTGTGTGTTATGAAATATGTTCTCATTTTTAATCGTCAAGAAGTTCTCCATATTTTTTAAAGACAGTTAATATTAAGCAGCATTAAAGTAAAGAGAGGGAAATAGGCAGAATCTCCTCGACTCATCTACGTCGTCATTTTACTCTATTCTGTAAGGTAGTATTAATAAATTACGTGAAGCAAAGAATCGGCACAGTCTCGTGCGAACTCTTGCGCAACAGGCCGCTGGTCGGTCCCCTCACAGCCCACCTCTCGTACACAGCAAGGTAAATTTTATAATAATAATAATTTACTTTATTTCAGAGAAATATCCATATTGTGTTAGTTAAATAACCCTTATTAACCGTATTAGTAAAACTCACAAACAGTAAACTACATTTCACACACTTGACATGTATAACTACCCATTGACACAGTATTGGCCCATCTTCCCTCTCGGCCACTGTCCGAACAAATATAATTCAGAAAAAACAATCGACAAGTTTACGACAGCTATTCTGAAAATGACTGAATAATAGTTTAACTTAAATTAATTTTATTTCATTATATAACAAATGGCAAAATTATAAACGACAAACATAATATTTTTTTAGTAATGATTCTATAATGTACTATTACATTCTAATAATTAAATTTTAATAATTAACACTTCACATTTTCGTACTAATTAAGAAGAAAATAGTGTATATGTGCAGGAAAATTAAGTCGGTGGTTAGCACTACTAAATACATCAATACATTTATAACCGAATTCAAAAAAGGAGGAGTTTTCAATTCGATTGTAGTTTTTTTTTATGTTACGCTATTACTCTTCTGCATTTGTGAACCGATTTCGATGATATTAGTCTCATTTGAATTTGAAGAAAATATTCCACCTCCAAGGGTGGCGAACTAGGGGATGAATCCGGTTTCGCGTACTTTTCGGTAACCGTTTTTAATAAAACTTAACAAATAGATGTAATTGAATTTTTTTATAGAAAACTTTGAATTATTATTACAGATTTCGCTATGAATTTAGTAAAATAAACTCAATTTTCAGATCAATGATGTGTAACTAGCCAAGTTCAAAGTATCTCTAAAACTCATTGAAAATAATTATGCCTGTGTTAATCATGTATTAGCAGTAAATAAGTCCATCGATGTTTTTGTAATTAATAAAGAAATATTCAATATGTCTATAGTCTAAATCGAACTAAAATTTTTCTCATTTTCAAGTTTCAAGCTTTTCAGTGAAGGAAAAAAACGTGAGGTAGTGTCTGCAGTTCCCAATCCACAATGGGTCCACGTGCGAACGACAGCCCTCATTGTGAGAGGAGGGTTGTGCCCAGCATTGAGGCTGTTATACAGGCTAACTATTATTATTATATATCATATTTTTAGACAAAATATTACATAAATTCTGTGTATTTGGTGTAGGAGACAAAACTACAAATAGTATTCCATAATCCTGAATGTCTTCTTGGAGACTGATCGTAAGAAAAAATATTTGGTTCTTCATAAAATAACTAATAATTAAAAAAAGCTTTTTTACGATAAGGTGCTAAAAGTTCAGTTACGCATTGGACACAGACACAGCGACGAAGAAAAAATTAATATTTTCGATAATATTTACAAAAATAATTGAATGTTGCTGCACATTTAATGATATAACACTAGGATAATGACGACTATAATATCAATTCACATTAGGATTATCAGGTACCATTTTTTTTATACTTTCACCACACCGCCGATAAAAAAACTGATTAACCTAAATACTTAGACTTTTTCCATCCTCTAAGACTAAATACCACTTGGCTTTGACTGGGGTTATGACTATGACAGTAATAGTATAAAATACTATTTGTAAAGTTAACGAGAATTGTAAAGTTTATGGTTTAAAAATTTAGACCTAAAAATATTATTGGTACTTATGTACAGGAAGTTAATTAATAAATAGTGGCGAAAGCGAATAGGTATTATTCAAATGTGTATGCTCTGTCGTCGACCATAACGTCACTTTCCATCAGGTGAGAGTTAGGTCAAATGCGTGCGTATTCTATCCTTAAAAAAATCAAGTCTATATTTCGACCACTCCTACGTAAAATATCGTATGTCGAAATTGCCAAGTTTACAGGGGAGCGTTTTACAGTTTAAATTATAAAATAAATTGTGATTGTTCATCTAACCGATATCTAGGATTTTTTAATACTCTGTGTGAGTAACGAGCTTTGTCGAATAAAATTAAGAAATGCTAACGTCACGTGTCATGCTCATTTCAGTGAATACAAAACTTTAAAACGCTCCCCTGCAAACTTGGCAATTTCGACATACGATGCTTTACATAGGAGGGCTCGATTTCTGTACTAATATACTACGTATGTTTGTTTTTTCAAACATACCGACGTTTCGGGCCCTTTACAGGTCGATAAACATGACCATGAGACCTGTAAAAGGTCCGAAACGTTGGTCTGTTTGAAAAAACAAATATACGCGATTTAAATCCGGAAAAATAATTTCATTTCCTAAATAATATTATTACATAAGTATTATGTGTAGTCTGTTATCTGTTGTTGTACCATATAAAACAAATAAATAATACGATACACTTTGACCACCGTTACTGTTTCAAGGATTTCATATTATCATTTCAAAGACAAAAAAAATAAAAGAGTGTACAATAGAAACTAAAACATGACTAAGGGATTCCTTAAACTGGATCAACTTTTCCGGTTTCACTCAATTATGGAATACATGCAAAAACTTTAACAGCAATGTACCAACTCAGGATGATAGATAGATACAACCTCCTCCTCCTCTTCCCGAATCCGAGGAAATTTGTGAAAACACCGATGAATATAGTACATGTGACGAGTGGATTTATTTTTACAAAAAATTATGACTATTTTTTATAAAAATATTTACAAGTATCAGAAATCAGTGTGTTCTGTATAATCGCGCATATTTTTAAAGGCTAACCTGTGATGTACACACTTTATAGTCTATAGCATATATAAGTAAAAATGTCAAGTATTTAAATCAAGTTACCAGTACCGTAGGGTAAAATTATTGCTTTAGCATTTAAACCATAGCCATATCAAATTTTGTGGCTCACCGCCCACTTAGGTAAGATAAAAAAAAATTCAAAACCCACCACTACAAAAAATAATCGAAAACACGTATTTTTTATATTAACTTAAGACAAACAATCACAAGAAAAAACATATATTTGTATGTAGTTTACACAGATAATTCAGGTTTTTTCAAATGCGGTAGCACCCCCTGGACAGCATCAACACCTACGTACACAACTTTAGTTCAATCAGAAAAGTGAAAATGTTTTCAAAAATCAATTAAAATATTCGAATGTTGTAATTTGGAGTAAAATTATAAAATTTAATAAAATAGTTTTAATAGATATTGTAAACATCCGCCATGTGGTGGCCCACCAATATAATAAATAATAACACCCATAATAACCTCAATCTTCCTATCAAGTTATCGATTCATAACATACAATACAAAATCTTTATTGGTACTACATATACTCTATAGGTGCTACGAAGTATATAGATATTAAAATCGTAAGATAACCCTATGTGACGGCGTACAGTTCAATCAAAACTACTCAACATTTTTATTGACGTTTTAATACACATAGTTAATATGGGTTTCAAGTAGTAATCATTCACAATAGTACTCATATGTCTAAAGCAACCAACTTTTTGTTTTTCAATTAACAAATTAATTAAATTCAGTTTATTTTCTTCTGAAGGTAAAGCATTTGTAGAAATATATTGTAAATTCCTTTAGCTATGAAATAAATCCCCTTTTGAAACGAATGTTGACACACCCAAATAGAGCCTTCAACACTAAACATAAAGAATTGGAATATATACAATTATCTTGTTATTAAATAAATTTTATATTCAATCATAAAATTAATTAAGCATAACAGAAGCAAACAAGAATGTTTGAGTTTTAATGGAATATAAAATGCCTGCAAACAATTAAAATATAAAAAAATATATAAATAATATGCAAATAGTATTACACAGTTTAAATATAATATGCAAATAGTATTTCACAGTTTAAATATATTTTTTATTTATGACTTTATTATTTTTTATGTAAAACACACAAGACACACAGAATTACGTATGTACATATTATAAATTTGCAATCCCAATCATAGTGTTGTATGATTTGGATTGCAAATTTATTTTTAGCTTAACCTAACCTTTCTACTGTTATATACAACAGCGGTAGGATTGAAGTTATTATATAGGTAGATAACATAAATACATCAAAACTCAACAAAATGACTCCTTCGTTTGGCTAAATTCACCATTTAGTTATAATTAACTTTTTATTGGTTCACAACATAAAAAATTATTCACCTAAACCGGATGATCAGGTGTTATCTTTCTTAATTGGGTGATATACCTACCTATAATTCGAACGGATAATCATCTCGTAATGATACGAATACATTTTATTTAATATTGTCAAAATATTTATGATAATTTTAATATTATTCAATTACTAGTCAATTTATAGTCTGCGCAGATAATATATATGCTTTTGATAGAATATGTAGTACATCATATATGTTATATATATCACATATACAATTTCTGCAAACCTCTGCAAACTATTATTGATAGTCATATATATTATATTAAACATTTTCTGTGATACGTTATTTAGAAATTTCGTTTAATATGTCTGTTTTGCTTTGAAATCCATTTTTTACTCTTCAAGCGCAATATCGGGTAGTTGTAAAATAAGGGTATGGTCATGGACCTAATTGCCCAACACATTAGCATAGCCATACAATGGGCGAACGCTTCCAGCATCTTCGGCACCTTGCCGCGGAGAACGAATTTTATTCATAGAATTTAATTCTAGTTTTACGTATAAACCTGTATTATATAGTTTCATTAAACATAGTTACTACATCATTGATTGTCATATAATTATTTTTTATTTTACTGTTTTTTATGCCTAATCAAAAGTTACCATTAATGGAAGTTACGAGGTTTGTATGTATCCGTTTATACATTTCTAAATAACATATTATAGAAAATGTTTAATATAATAAATTTTATTTTGGCGTTTAACATTGCTTAGCTTCCAATCGTTTTAATTATCGTTTTGGTACATTGACTTTTATAATTGTAAGTCAATGTTTTGGTAAATAATTTTAAAAATATTCATTATCTTTTTCATAGTTTAAGGTCTCACTGAACATGGAAATTTAAATTTAGTTTAATAATACAATTCAA